CTTATCGCCCTTCCAAGCTTATCCTCTCCGGAACCGGATCAACTACTTTCATATTTTGTTTATTATGCTGTTGATCTACGTCTCGTTAATTGGTTCTGTCAGTTACTGATATCTCTCGGGTGTGGTCATCTTTTAAGTGCCTAGAGTTTATTAGTTCATTTCAGACGTTTCCTGGCCGTCTCATTCAACGGTTTTTATTATAAAAAGACTTTGCAGCTGTCAGTTTTGCAACTTATTCTTTGTTATGTAATTGTCCTTATATATGTTGCTGAAATCCAGTTGGAAATTTTATTTGGATTTGAAAACTTTAATATTCCCACGACAATTACGGTGATCATCGGGTCTTTCACGGCGTCCATCGATTTCTTTACCTTTCAAAAAGTTAGAAGGGTGAGCGACAGAGCGAAAAGACAAATTCTGTCAGAAAAAAAGAGACTTTTGGTTTTCTTAAGAGTCTGCTACTACTTTTCTTAAGTTTTAAAGTAAACAATTCGTTTTTATCTCTAGTTTGAAGAGTTTTTTGTCGTCTCCATAGGTACCAAAAGTCTTTTTTGAATCATCATTGATTCTCTTTTTGTTATTTTCATTTGAAAATTCATGGTAAAGATGAACTTTAAAAAAAAAGTTGATGTGTTTTAGCGGAAGAAAACGAGCATCACGTTAGTCGAAAAGCGCCTACTTTATCAGGTCAGATTCTGTTTGCCAACACTTATGCTTTGGCTTTCCTTTTAAGAATGTTTTTTTTAGATGCTATGCTTTTCCGCACTCAACTTTTTTGATCTTGTAATGGCTCCATTTCTCCTATTAATATCAACTTTTTTTACTGGATTTTACATGCAAATGGCGTTGTCTGAACTGATGAACATCGTGGACACTACGCTCTACACATTTGTCCTTGGGTAAACCGTTATGAAAATTATCAAATGAATAAACGCTTTCTTTTTTTTCCTTTTTCATTTTTGCTTTCAGGGTGCTGAGTGCGATTCTCTTTTGGAAACCAAAAAGGGCAACAAAGACCATTCAAATCTCCGTCACCACATAATTCACCTATTTTTGTACATTTTCTCTAAGAGCAAATTAATATTAGTTTGCTTTTCGAGAAGTTTCTGAAGGTTAATGATAAAAATTAATATAATTTATTTATTTACAACCGTTATTACATTCAGTGGCAGTGTTGAGAACTTTGAAATTATGGCGTAGAAGGTGCATTTGGTTCAAACTTGCACGCAAATGCAGTTTATCGGCGGGAGACAGAGGCCGGCGGTGTAACCGGCACGTTGACAACAGGTGTTGCACGACGTTGGCTAGAAAATCACAAACTGTTTTTAAAAAGGGTTCAGATCTTAAAGTAGACCCAAAACGAATGAATAAATAGATCAAAAAATCATTAATTTAAAAAGATAAACTTGAATTTACTCACATTGCAACCTCCCGGGCATGGCGCCTGCAAGCCATTGGCTTCCACACCATTAAGCTCTTTCAACTCTGGATTGAGCATTTCTGGGAGGATCGCGAAACATCCAACTAAAACTGTGTGTTTCTAGGTTATTCGAATAAATTGAAAAGAAACTTTTAATCTAGATAAGTGGTTGTTGGACAGTTTTATTTTATTCAAATTAAGACCCACCACACATAAAAACAACGATGAGGGCGAAGGAGCGCATTGGAATAGTCGAGGTTCAGTGATACTGAATGAAAAACAAAAATGAAAACATTTAGTTTGGGGGGGCTTTTATTCTAGATTGAGTTTTGCCGTTTCTTTCCATCGATCAAGCTCCTTGTGGGGATGACCTGGGGGGGATGATCGGCTCTCCGAGAAAATGACTGGCTTTCTTATCCCAGAAAACCTCCACAATCATCTGGGATAAGAAATTGACATCTGGGATAAGAAAGCCAGTCATTTTCGAGAGCCGATCTATGAGACAATCTCAAGGTCATGAGAAAAAAAAAGGATGTTGATCGTTAGGAACGGAAAAACTTACAAAAGAAAACTCTCGGTCTAAGGATAAAAGCGGGCCCAAACAATTGACATCAGTCCTCGACATCTCATTCAATCTACTGAACCTCCTCAACTCCGAATGCGCTCCTTCGCCCTCATCGTTGTTTAGGGGAAAGCGCAAAAGGCAAAAGCAAAACAATAACTTGAATAAATAAAAACTGTCCAACAACCACTATCTAGATTAAAAGTTTCTTTCAATTTATTCGAATAACCTAGAAACACAAGTTTAGTTGGATGTTTCATGATCCTCCCAGAAATGCTCAATCCAGAGTTGAAAGAGCTTAATGGTGTGGAAGCCAATGGTTTGCAGGCGCCATGCCCGGGAGGCTGCAGTCGTGAGTAAATTCAAGTTTATCTTTTTAAATTAATGATTTTGATTCATATTCATCGTTTTGGGTCTACTTTAAGATCTGAACCCCTTTAAAAACAGTTTGTGATTTTCTAGCCAACGTCGGGCAACACCTGTTGTCAACGCCGGTTGTTCGGCCGGCCTTCTGTCTCCTGCCGATAAACGGCATTTGCGTGCAAGTTTGAACCAAATGCACCTTCTACGCCATAATTTCAAAGTTCCTCAACGACTGCCACTGAATGTAATAACGGTTGTAAATAAATAAATTATATAATTTCTATCATTAACCTTTCAGAAACTGTCGAAAAGCAAACTAATATTAATTTGCTCTGAGAAAATGTACAAAAATAGGTGAATTAGTGGTGACGGAGATTTGAATGGTCTTGTTGCCCTTTTGGTTTCCTTAAAAGAGAATCGCACTCAGCACCCTGAAAGCAAAATGAAAAAAGGAAAAAAAGAAAGCGCTTATTCATGATAATTTTCATAACGGTTTACCCAAGGACAAATGTGTAGAGCGTAGTGTCCACGATGTTCATCAAGTGTTCAGACAACGCCATTGCATGTAAAATCCAGAAAAAAGCTGATATTAATAGGAGAAATGGAGCTAATACAAGATAAAAAAGTTGAGTGCGGAAAAGCATAGCATCTAAAAACATTCTTAAAAGGAAAGCCAAAGCGATAAGTGTTGGCAAACAGAATCTGACCTGATAAAGTAGGCGCTTTTCGATCAATGTGATGCTCGTTTTCTTCCGCCAAAACACATCAACTTTTTTTTAAAGTTCATTTTACTACGAATTTTCAAATGAAAATAACAAAAAGAGAATCAATGATGATTCAAAAAGACTCGGGGTACCTATGGATAATAATAAAACCCCTTCTTCAAACTAGAGATAAAAACGAATTGTTTACTTTAAAACTTAAGAAAAGTAGTAAAAGACTCCAAAGAAAACCAAAAGTCTCTTTTTTTCTGACAGAATTTGTCTTTCGCTCTGTCGCTCACCCTTCTAACTTTTGAAAGGTAAAGAAATCGATGGACGCCGGGAAAGACCCGATGATCACCGTAATTGTCGGGGAAATATTAAAGTTTTCAAATCCAAATAAAATTTCCAACTGATTTCCAGCAACATATATAAGGACAATTACATAACAAAGAATAAGTTGCAAAACTGACAGCTGCAAAGGTCTTTTTATAATAAAACCGTTGAATGAGACGGCCAGGAAACGTCTGAAATGAACGAATAAACTCTAGGCACTTAAAAGATGACCACACCCGAGAGATATCAGTAACTGACAGAACCAATTAACGAGACGTAGATCAACAGCATAATAAACAAAATATGAAAGTAGTTGATCCGGTTCCGGAGAGGATAAGCTTGGAAAGGCGATGGAAATCCCGTAGGCAAGAGTATAGAGAAGTCGATTCAAGTTTTCTGCTGTCGCCAATAACCTGCACATTTTTTGAAGCGAATAACAGTTAATAGGTGGGCAACAAAAAGATTTGGATGGATGAGCTAGTTGGGAGTAGCGTCAGTCTCAGTACTCTTACCCCATCTAAAAACAAAACTGATATCCCCGTGATCCCAACTCCCTACTACCTACTTTTGGGCCTTTGCCCTACAAGGCTCGGCGAAAGTTCTATCCTTTTCAAAATTCTCCCTAAAAGCTCTTGATCAATTTTATTCTTTTTGTTTTCTGCTGTCGCCAATAACCTGCACATTTTTTGAAACGAATAACAGTTAATAGGTGGGCAAAAAAAGAAAAACAAAAATTTT